GAGCATGTTTTACGGTGTCTGCATCAGACTGCAGGAGAAAACGCATGAACACAGCCGATGTCGTAAGTATCTCTTGGCTCATGTCAGTTTTAACTACTCATGTCAGGATACCTAGGATCTGAGCAGATTGGTAGAAGAGCTCAGAGCGCACCTCCACTGCTGATGTACTCGATCTTTCTTTTCCTCTATCTTCTTTCTGTCCTCGATGTCTCTCTCAGTAGTGCGCCTTACTCAGACATGAAGTGATAGCTTGCAATGTGCAGTACGAGTGCTTTGACATGCCATATAATCCGGTATGTGATGCCATGGCGCAAACCAGATCAACAGCAGCAGCCAAGGTGAAGAGGTGAGAACAACCAGGGGGATGTACACCCTTTCCAGGGGGATGAGGGAGGACCGAGGAGGGTGGAGGGAGGAGGGAGAAAGAAGGAGAGAGAGAGAGAGAGAGAGAGGTTGAGGTGACACGTAGTTTGATGAAAGCAAGTACGATGGCAGACTATCAGAAAATGATAGGCACAACAGGACCAACTTGGAGGGTAAGGAGGAGGACGAGGAGAAGGAGGAGTAGGAGTAGGACGAGGAGTAGAACGAGGGGGAGAGGGAGGAGTAGAACGAGGAGTAGGAGTAGGACGAGGAGTAGAACGAGGGGGAGGAGGAGGGGCAGCAGCAGGCCAGATCGGACGAGTTATTCTGACGCATCAAGGCAGGGACTGAAGACGAGAGGAGATGAAGAGCCGGGGAGAAGGAAAGGGAAGAAAGAAAAACTTCCTACCATTCTGAGCTAGAAATGCTGCCCAGCTGTCCCACCTGAGCTCCATTACAAGCATGATGAGGAACGGGAGCTGCAGGCCAGACGGCTTCTTCCTCCTCTTCCTCCTCGTCGTCGCTTCTTCATGGGTGTGTAGCGATGGCAGCAGCATGGCGTGGCTCCGCCCCCCTTCCTTGCCGCTGGTCGCTTCTCCTCCCAGCTCTCTGTGCTACCTGCCGCACCTTCGCCCTCCTCGCGCCGGGCTGCAGCTGCTGGCGATGCAGACGCGGAGGTACAAGGACGACGAGGGGAAGAGCTGGAAGCGAGTGCGGTTCGATAGCTCTGATTCCTCCCCCAGCCCGAGGGGGCAGAGCTGGGACAGGCCGTTCCTGCAGAAGACAGCAGGGAGGATCGGGCTGCTGAAGGAGCAGAGTGGGAGGAACCGCGTTCTGCTGCCCAAGAACATGGGGAACTATCAGAACCTGGGCGAGCTACTCAGCCTGTTCGAGGACTTGATGATGCGGGGGATGGATCAAAACATCTACTCATCGGACGCGGTCGCTGCCATGAACCATCTGAAGAGGCTGCAGAAGCAGGCGAGGGGCGACAAGGTGCTGCAGCGGAGGCTCGAAGCTGTCATGATCAAGCTAGGGAGAGTTGTCAAGGTGAATGCTGTGACCTCAGCTTCCTCTGTCTCTTCTCTCCCCTTGTTTCCTCCTCCTCCTCCTCCTCCTCCTCCTCCTCCTCCTCCTCCTCCTCCTCCTCCTCCTGCCCCTCCCCCCTCCTCTCTTCTCCCCTGCTCCCTGCAAGCCTGCCCATAAGTATCCTCTCTTCGCTTCCCCCAGCTCCTTCCCTCACATCCTCACCCTTTCCCAATCGCTCACCGCTCCCCTCCCTCCCTCCCTCCCTCCCTCCCTCCCTTCGTCTCCTCACTTGATCTCAGGATGGGGTGCACCTTCTTAACGCTAAGAACGTTGCTCTCGCTCTCAACGCCGCAGCCTATCGTGAGGGTTTCGACGATCTTTTCGACGTCAGCGCCACCAGGATCCAAGAGCTCATGGAGACTGACATGTCGATCCGAACTCAATCCCTCGCCATGATCATCAATGCCTTTGCTCGCAGAAGGATGTTCCCCAGGTACTCTTCCTCCTCCTCCCTACCACTTCTCCTCCCCCTCCTCCTCTTCGTACTCTGCTCCATACCCTCGTCAATTGTTTCTCCCTCTTCTTCCTCCTACCTCTTCGTCTGATCTTTTTCTCATTCGCTTCTCATTTTCATGTCACCATTCCCTGCCACCCTTCTTCTCCTCTCCTCCCTCTTTCCCTTCCTCACGTGCTCCCCTCCCTCCTCTCTCCTCCCTCCTCCTTACCTGATGAGCTTTCACGCAGAAATCTTTATGAGAGTATCGCCACATACGCACAAAGAATCCCTCCTGACGAGTACAACGCGCAGTCTGTAGCCATCTTTCTCAACAGCTTCTCAAAGTCTCCCTTCTCCTCCTCCCCCATCCTCGACTACTTGGCCATCGTCACCCAGCACCTCGACCGCAGCGCGTGGGACACGCAGAGCACGGCGCTGGTGCTCAACAGTTACGCACGGCTGAACAGGAGGGAGGAGGAGATCTTTGAAGCCTTCGTGCCCATCATCCTGTCGTTCGGTATGAGCGACTTCTCGTCGCAGAACATTGCCAACATTGTGAACGCGTACGCCAAAGTCGGCATGAAGGAGGAGAAGGTCCTGAAGCACATGAAGCAAGCTGTGCTCTTCCTTCAGAGCAGCAGGTGCGACTCGCAGGCTGTTGCCAACATCCTCAACGCGTACTCGCGGCTGGAGATGTACGACCAGGAGCTGTTTGCGCACCTCAACAAAATGGCGACTGAGATCAGCACATCAAAGTTCTCGTCCCAGGCCATCGCCAACATCCTCAATGCGAATGCTAAGGTGAGCACGGGGCGATAACGATGGTGAAGAGGAGGAGGAGGAGACGAGGAGGAGGAGAAGGAGGAGAAGAAGGAGGAGAGGAGACGAGAGGGAGGAGGGAGATGCCAATGTTGATCATTCTCAGGTGGGAAACAAGGACATGAAGCTTTTCTCGCATTTCTCTCGCTTCATCACGTCCGTTGGACATGCTCCGAGGTTTCCTTGTCTTGATCGCAACATCTCCATCGTGAATTTCTTCTGCCAGAGACGCCAGTGCAGTCGACGAGGATTCGGACAATGACGATGACTCTCCCAATTTTTCTTCGGTGGGGAAGCTCGTGTACGACACACAGGCTATCGCCAACATTCTCAACGCCTTCTCGAAGCTCGAGGTGATGGCTGTGGGGAGAGGATGCGGATTGTTGCATGTGGAATCCAGGATGTCAATGACAACACCACCATCGTCATTGTTACCATGATAGTGCTGCTCCTGCTCCTGCTCCTGCTCCTGCTCCTCTCTTCCTGCTCAACTGTTCTCGTGCAGATAAAGGATGAGACTATCTTCAATCATTTCGAGGGTTTGATTCTTTCCACCCCCGACGACAAATGGGAAGCTCAGGTCATGAGCTCGATCAACTACTTGTCTCCATCCTCCTCAACTCTTCGCTTTCCCTCTCCTCCTCCTCCCCCTCATCTTCATCACCTCATTCGCTGGTTCAGGCCCTGGCGCTGGTCTTGAACGCATACGCTAAGTTGGATCTCGGCTCTTATGAAGTTTTCTTCCGCCTGTTTCACGTTGTCAAGACCATGAAGGCTGGGAACACCAACGCACAGGAAGTTCTACTTCCTCCC